TTTGCCAGTTTTTTGTTTTTTTATTCATTATTATACAGGTACACCACCGATTTTCCCGCACCTTTGGTTCCTGAGCCTTGCCGGACCATCCATTTTGCGGATTAAATGAGTTCATATATAATAATTAAGCAATACACCTCTGACCCACTAGCTATACACCTCCGTTATCTTTAAAGCACCATGGCAGCTAGAAACTTAAATTAAACAAATATGTTCAGTACTCTTAGCATCTTTCAATGTTTTTCTAATGCACATTTGCTTCATGGAATCACTTTCTGCTTAGAATCTCATTACTTATTCTCTTTGCTTCTTTATATCATACACAGTTGACGAACCAATACCATTCTGGTCACACACCTGTCGCACCGAAACACCACGGTCAAGTTTTCTCAAGAGTTCCACCTTATCTTGTATCGATATTGACTGGTGTTTACGCTTTACACCACCGCTGACACTTTTACTTGCCTTTTTTGAAGCCATAGCTGGGGTTAAATACAGTAGACTCGCAACTTACGCAAGGGTTACGTAAAGTCAGAAACACTCTTAAATCGCCCTTAAATCACTATACCATATATATACGTACAAATACACTGGAACTCATAAATCACTACTGTAATGTGATACAGGTGATTAACTTTTATTTCTTGTGCAAAATATATGATGTCTATATTCAAATTATTCGCTGTCTTGCAAGGATTCTAGCAATGCAAATTATATTCTCCTAACTTTAGTCTGTGATAAAAAATAAGATGAAAACTTAAGCCTAAAACCACCAAACCCTGGCTGAGAGGATGGTGGAGGTGGGAGCCGGGAGGGAGGGGGAGGGGATGTGAGGTGTTTTGACAGCTGGCGCCAAGGTTTACCCAGTGTGTATTTATTTATCTGTCATAGAGAGGATTTTAAGTTTTTCTCTTATAAAATGTCACTCAACTGATCTGGGAGAATATGTAATGATTGATTGTCAGACCAAAGCTTACAGCCTAGAATTACATCACATTTAACAGCGAGTACGCTAGAGACCTCGTGGTACCCCAACATTCCAGTTTGACCCTAGGGACTTGACCTCGCCTGCTAATGACGTGAGTTAGCCGGGTGACCTACAACCTCACCTAACCAAGACACCTGGGCAGGACCACACCTGCACACAGCTATGCAGATCTAACCAGTTTAGTGTTAATTGGTTAGAGGTCAAAAGACGGCTGGGCCGACCCCATATAAAGGCCCTACAGTCCCGTCTACGGGCATTCCGATTCTCATCGTGATTCTCATACGACTATCATTCAGAGAGGTTGGCCATTGAGAGGTCATTCTGGTCACTCGCACAGAGTCACGCTCGTCCCCTCCCCCCAGGTGGGGGGGGGGTGGGGAGACTTCACGACGTCACCAGCTAAGGAGAGCATCGCATACGAGAGCCCAGCCAAGCACCCACTGGGCCTACGTCAGGTGTACATGTGAGTCATTGTCAGAGCAATCTCTAGGGCGAGTTACCTACTGTGGGAAGTGTATTCATTCATGTGGTGCCCGAGAAGTCAGTGTCGAGTAACGGAAGACGTAATGTGTTAATACCCTGATATAATAGTGATATTAATGTGTCCATGTCATTGAGTGAATTAATAAATAGTTGTATCGAGGAGGTGTTTAACAAGTTGTCCCTTTAAGAAGTAATATATGTGTATTGACATATGAGATAAGATAAGCGTATTGACGCTGAGTAAATAACACCCAAGCGGCCACGCTACCAAGTTTCCTATCTTTACATTCCTACTCTCTATACTTCTTACATATGTAAAATCCTCTTCTTGTTTATTTGTACCATTATAAATATAATTTATATTGCTGGGATTCTTGTAAGATAATGATTAATTTGAATATAAACATGCGATAATTTGCACGAGACAAAAATTTTTGTACCGTAATAATTTAGTACAGTCATCCCTTGGTTATAGTGATTTTCGTTATCACGCCTCCATCAAAATCTGCACTGCTGCTGTTATAGCGCATTTTTCAAGCCGAGAATTTCGTTATCACACAGTTGCCTCCAGGTGTTTTTACCCATTTGCTTCACCTACATTTATTGAGGATAAAATCTTTCACCTACAAATTGACAATAACACATTTGCTGTAATCAGACATATCTAGTTGCCTTAACAATTGCAACCCCAGTTGCAATTTCAAATTCTGTCATTACTAAGGAATAACGAAGTCTCAGGTGCACTCTAAGATTGAGAGAAAACGGAGGACTCAAGCGTCCTGAAGCGATGAGAAAATGGACTCTTCAGACGGGGGACTCAAATAAAGAAAGCATAGCTACATGTTTTGTGGACTACAGTATTGAGCATACCCTTTTCATCACTTTGTAATAAACCTAGCCATGCCTATGTGTGTTTCTGATACTTGCTACAACATTATCTATATCTTTAGTGGGTCTAAATAGTCGTAAAATGGGAAAATTGGGGTTGGGTCTTGGGTGCCTGGAACCAGTTAGAATAAATCCCATCGGTTCTGTACTTTCGTTATCGCTTTTTTCGTTATCATGCACTCGGCGCAGTCCCAATTAGGCGTGATAACCAAGGGATGACTGTACAGTACAGGTTTGCACTTAAGACAATTATTTCTTTTACTTTTTTTTTTAGAATGGTGTGTGCATGTAAATGAATAAAATTAATTAAGAAATTTATGCCAAAAATACAGTTGAAAAACTTGTACATTACTAAAATGCATTACACTATATTTTTATCTCTTGTGCAAAATATATGATGTCTGGATTCAAATTATTCGCTGTCTTGCAAAAATTCTAGCAATGCAAATTATATTCTCATAACTTTAGTCTGTGATATTTTAAAAGATAAAAACTTTAAGCCTAAAATGACCAAACCCTGGCTGGGCAGATGGGGGGGAGGGGAGGAGTTGAGGTGATATGTTTGACATTTGATGCCAAGTTTTAGTGCCTATTTATTTATTTGTCCTTAAGAGTAACTTTAAGTTTCTCTTATAAAATGTCACTGAACTGACCTGGGTGAATATAATTTACATTACTGGATTTCTTATAAGATAGTGATTAATTTGAATATAGACATGCTATAGTTTGTACTAGACATAAACATTTTAGTCTACTGTACTGTATATCCAAAATAAGCTGAGAATTACACAAAATCAAGGAGCGACCACCAGCAACTGCAGAGTAAACAAACAAAGTGAGCGCAGTTAACATGGAACGCCATCTGTGAGCAGCCCAGTAAACTAATATGGAGGTTGCAGGAATTATGTTCGGATTAAGAGAGGTGCCGTACCATCCGTTGCTGGAAAATCGGTGGTGTACCTGTATTTTCATATGATCAGCTACTTATGGTGTATGTTTTTTCATAAATATTATGATTATTAAATAATAGAAAAATACGATATATAATTTGTGACTTCAAAATAAAAGGACAAGCTTTATCAGAAAGTTATGTCTTCCCTGACCACTCTTCCCTTCCTGCTGACTGCTGTCGAGGCCAACTTCCGACCTGAATATTATTGATTCATTATTATTAAATTCTACTATGATAAAATATAATACTCTGTATATAAAATTTGTATTTTGACTTGATAATAAAAGGATACGTTGTATCGAATCGAAGGTGATGTCTCACTTTATCTTGTCTCCCTCCTCCCTCCCACAACATATGGTAGTAACCTTGACTTGAGAATTAAAGGATACTGTACATTGTATCGAAGGTGACGTCTCACTTTATCATTCTTTCCCTCCCTTCCACAACTTAGTACCCTAACAAAAAATTCATTATGCGATACGCCATTTATTAAATATGTCCGCAGATGGCTGTATTTCTCCAGTAACCATATAGAACAGGTTTATAGACATGTGGCATCAACATAGTGAGAGTGTGTATGTGTTGGCAAGCCTGCTGAATCTAAAATTTTCCGGTAGCCCTCTGAAATTTCCACTAGTATGTAATTGTTTTTGAAATGTGTGGGAATATCTTTTAAAACTCTTAATGGCAGAAACAGTGGCCAAAGCATCAGCCAGCCCTTCTGTCAGTGGACTGGCTTAGGGTAGGAATGGCGATTCAATGTGAGCTCAATTCTTCAACACTGCTGAATAACATTCTCAGTTTATGCTTACATTCCTTAATTAATGCTTATTATGCTTGTTTTATATGTCTACTTTTTTCTTGCTTGACAATCTGAAGACAGATATATCAAGGGTGGATGGGAGTTTTTGGTGGGTAGCTGGTCCCTAACATCCTTAATTTGTTCTATTCTTATGTGATTTATTGTTCCGAAAACTGTTAATTCTCTGTCTGTTGACTTTTCGTAGTTGCATATATGTCGGTTATCTAGGCATGCATACCTGTATACAGTATTGACTTACAAGTGATATCTCGCTCGCCGGAACAATTAGTACAGAGCACTTCCGGGAATGAGAGATTTCCGGGTAATGAGACGACTCTCTTAAAGCCGGAAAAAATCCCTCGGCCCCGGAATTTTCCGGGTAATGGAAAAATGTTCTCATAAGTTCCAGAAATTGCCCATTACATCATCTCTTCAATCCGGAAAAATATCCCCCATCCCTGGAAAATTTTTCTAGGAATTTTTGGGAAATGCACCTGATTTTCATCTCTCAGACCCAGAAAAAACTCCCTCCATCCCCGAAATTTTCCAAGTACGGGGTATCAGGAAAAATTTCCTTAAAATTTGCCCTCACAAAATCGTCCGCCAAGCCAGAATTTTCCGGAAAATTCCAGCTTTGGGAACGATTTTTTGAGAAAATTTCAATTCCGGTTATCAGAGAGTTCCGGGTTTGAAGGATTCTGACTAATGGAGATATTACTGTATTGTGAAATCCTTATCAACCAAAGTAGTTTGAGAAATTTGTTGTTGTTATTATTGTAGTGCAACATATGATCATTGTTGTTATTGGCAACTTTAAAAATCTTTTACTGATGTACAATTTGTCAAGGTCATCAGAATAGTGAAGTTATTGATAAATCTTTCTGCAGTTGAATAGCATCCGGCGATGTGGACACACAGGATCATTCTTTTTTCTTGGACTTGGACGATCAGCTGCTACAGGTGCTGGAGATATCTGGATGCTCACTGAAGATGCTGTTATTGCTGAAAATATGCACAGCATTATAAGAAAGTAAGTATTTTTTGCACTTTACTGTATGTTTCATTTAATATGTTTATAAACGTTTATAAATAAATATCAAAGACAGCCGATCAGTTGATGAAAACAGTTTCTCAACTCTCAGTAGATGGCAGCATAAGTGGGTACATTTTCTGTTAGCAACATTTTATTGCCTCCAACAAATTGTTGAAGGTGTGAAGACGAAATGCACAAATAATCAGGGATTACTGTAACTCTTTAATGACACTCAATACTCTTTGACAAAATTCTCAAGAACAACGGCTGGATCCTACACAGGCCACTGGCCTCCTTCCCTTAGCATGGCTACCTCAATTGAGTGGTCATTAGGTAAATAAGTTGTTTTCAGATATGGTCATTGTCTAAGATCATACATAAACTGTACATGGTATGTAAACAGCACAGTAAGTATCTGGATTTAATAGATTTTTGGTATTAACAGACATACTTTCTCCCCTATTAGCCCATTAAGTCTAGATTTTACTGTATTTTTATAGGTATTGCATATGAAAAATGAACATTTGGTGGTAAAAACTGCAATGTATAACTGAGTACCGTATGTGTATAGGAATTATACATGTAATCAGGACTCCCTGTACAGTATATGGTACTGTGTTATACAGGTTGACAACCCTTTATCCGAAATTCCGAAAACCGAAAAGCTCTGAAAACCGAAAGTTTTTTTGTGGGGCAATTTTTTAAACAGGGATTAGCCCACCCGGGCATAGATCACTGACCCACATCAGGGCCTGGGGGGCGAAAATGTAATAGTAATAATAATTAATAATAATAATTATTCATAGTAAATAAAAATTTTAATAAAAATACACCAAAATAAAATAATATGATAACAATAATAATAATAATAATAATAATAATAATAATAATAATAATAATATATAATAATAAAATTAATAAAAATAACAATAATACAGGAGTACTGTAATAATAAAATAATAATAATAATAATAAGAAATACAAGAATGAAAAAAAGATCAAAAGTGAGAAACACGACCTAGACCTATGAATTATTATTATTATTTTTTATTATATATTCCCCCAGGCCCTGATGTGGGTCAGTGATCTATGCCCGGGTGGGCTAATACACATAAAAAAAATAAAAAAAATAACCATTCCGAAAAATTCCGAAATTCCTCTGGCCCCAAGGATTTCGGATAAGGGATTGTCAACCTGTATAGCATACAAGGTGTGCCTCCCCATTTCAGCAGGGAATATGTATGAAAAACTTTTGTGTGTATTTTCCTCCTGTAGCCATATTTTTCTAAAAATAATATTTACAGTATAGTAAGATCTCATATTTTGTGCGATTTCATTTCGCGAGCACTACCTAATGCAACCAAGTCTTATATTTGGCGTAAAATATCTTGAATTTCGCGAGATCCTGCAAGCTGAATGCTGGCCACCATGTTAATGACGTCACAACCCTCATACCAGTTACAGTCATTTCTGCTACAACGCTTGTTTTGTCAACGCGAATTGGTTGCAACGCGATTGATGAATAGGGGAACGCTGTTTGTAAAACGCGAACTTTTTCATACGAATGTTGACTATAGTGCGATTCCATCCTCAATATTTTGATTCCATCCTCAACGTTTTAAGCATGACGTGGGGTTATGCAATGTTCAGTTCATGTTCAACATCACATGTTCAATTGATTCATGTATTTTGTTTGTGAAGTGTTTTTTGAGAGCCACTGTAAATTTTTTTTTTTTTTTTTTTTGCAAATTTAGGTATAACCTATAAATACTGTATGAAAAGAATAAGTAAAAAGAATGTTTCGCAGTGAGGACTAATAATGGTTTACACCGGTGCTCTCTGTTTACATCATGTGATCGGTTGAATTGTGCGGTTTCTGTCAATTACTCCGTGATTTTTGCTATTTTCTCCAATTTTGTTGTGTTAGCGATGAATACGGAAAGACAAGGTAAGAAGAATGTTTCCAAGAAGCGTTCTGGTGATTGAATTGTCGGCAGTGAATGTAAAAGAGGTTTACAAGAACGCAACTATCGCGTTGTAGCCAACGCCATCCTAGCGAGCGCCCGGGCTGTTATTACAGTATTTTTTTGGCTTGGAAGACGCTGCATCGTGGAAGACGCACCCTGATTTTAGAAATGAAATTCTAGGATATATATATATATACAGTGGTCCCTCGGTTAACGAACTCAATCCGTTCCAGCAGGTTGTTCGTTAACCGAAAAGTTAGTTAACCGAAACCATTGTTTCAATGGGTTTTTGGGTAATTGGTTCCAGCTCACCGAAAATTTTCTAAATTCAACAAAAATGGTAGAAAAGTTCACTTACTTTGAGGTGTGTATGTAGAAGGCTCCTGGATGATGATGATGATGATGATGATGGGAATTAGAATGGTGGTGGAGGAGAAGGAAGAAGAGAAGGCATTGGGGTGGAAGAGAAGTCACCCCTTGGCACCATTTCACCCACAAAATTTTAGTTCTCTTGGTGTATTTCAAGATTATTTTCTTTAAATCAACACTGCACTGCATTATATATTGTCAATATGTAAAATATATTTCAAAATGACCAATAATTTGCTTGGAAACACAGAAAAAAAAGCGTTTAGTTGAAGAGAGTCTCAAACAAGATGTTACCTCCAGTGAAAACAGAGAGAGACTAACGCCTGTTTGCTGTGTTAAGAGGCTGGATGTCGCGCATTAAACTAGTCACTTTACCTTCAATTATGTTCAATAATTGTTAAAATGACTAAAAAATTGAATATTAAACTTTTAAAATTATTGAATACAGTCAACCCTCGCTTTACGCAGTCCCACATTCCGCGTTTCCACGTTTACGCGGTACCCTGCCGAAACAGGAATGCTCACATTCCGCGGTGCATGTACCCATTTACGCGGAGAGCGGCTGGCAAGCCGCGCCATTTTTGGATTCAAACCTCCCGCCATGTTGTGTAAGCTGTGCGAGCATGATGCGCACAAGGTCGCCCAGTCATCAAAACATTACCGAATTCTTCACCCGCCACCCACCACAGCCGGCCCAAGTCAGTGATAGTGATAATTATAGTGATGATATGAACTTATATGGATTTTGAGGGGTTTGACAAAGAGGCCCTGCAAGCCTCTATGGTGGATAGTGATACAATTGATACAAATGATACAGGTGAGGGCCAATAATCTGTCCTCTGCCTCGGAACCAACCACCCATCCCCGTGTACCCAGCCATCTTTTCTACTAATGTAAGTGTTAGAAAACCTAATATTATTGGTATTTCTCTTAATTATTAATTGTTTGTGCATACCATCATCAAGTTAAGATAATATTTTTACTACAACATAGTTGTGTATCGTCAAAAAGTGGAGTTTGGGGGTCGGCCCGGACTCTATTTCAATTAATCCCATATGTTATGTTATTCACTTTACGCGTTCCTCACTTTCCGCGGCACCCTGTGGGTTACATTAACCGCGTAAAGTGACGGTTGACTGTAGTATAAACTTCTTGATATTTACTAAAATAGTAAGGAATTTAAGCCCTAGAACCGATTAATGTATTGGCGGACTGATACTAAAGCTGGTTGCCCGGCCCGTGCAAGCGAAAACATGTTGAGGTCGGTTTGTATATACACGGTGCCTCGCCAGAACCGAACTTTCACCTAACGCGGTTCATCTACCCATATACGCGGTGAAGTATAATATATATATTTTTTTTATTTAGCTCATAAAATTTATACAAATTACCCGGCCAGAATATAATTTACATTGCTGGAATTCTTACAATATGATGATCATTTTGAATATAATCATCATAGATTTTGCATTAGACATACAAATTTTAGATATAATGTTTACTCTGAGTAAATATGTTTTCTTTTGTGCAAAATATATGACATTTATATTCAAAATATTCCTGGTCTTACAAGGAATCCAGCAATGTCAATTATATTATCCTAACTTTAGTTTGAGGTATTATTTATTACTAAAAAGGTAAATATTCTGGTTTTCCCACACATCTGGTTGGTGGGGGGTGGGGGGTAGGGAGGGACCGACCGACCATCTGGCACGTGTGAAGAATATTTTTTTTTTTATTAACTGAAAATATTTGTTTTAGCTCATAAAATTCATACAAATTACCCGGCCAGAATATAATTTACATTGCTGGAATTCTTACAATTTGATGATCATTTGAATATAAACATCATAGATTTTGCATTAGACATACAAATTTTAGATATAATGTTTACTCTGAGTAAATATGTTATCTTTTGTGCAAAATATATGACATTTATATTCAAAATATTCCTGGTCCTACAAGGAATCCAGCAATGTCAATTATATTATCCTAACTTTAATCTGAGGTATTATTTAATACTAAATGTTAAAATCTAGTTTTTTCACCCAATATTTCTCTTGTAGGGAGGGTTGGTGGGGGGTGGGAGGGAGGGTTGGGACGACTGACCATCTGGCGCTGTTGGAAGAGGGGCGGAGGCAAGGTGGGGTACTTTGATTGACAGATAGTGTCGTGAAGAATATTTTTTTTTTTATTAACTGAAGATATTTGTTTTAGCTCATAAAATTCATACAAATTACCCGGCCAGAATATAATTTACTTTGCTGGAATTCTTACACTTTGATGATCATTTTGAATATAAACATCATAGATTTTGCATTAGACTTACAAATTTTAGATATAATGTTTACTCTCAGTAAATATGTTATCTTTTGTGCAAAATATATGACATTTATATTCAAAATATTCCTGGTCTTACAAGGAATCCAGCAATGTCAATTATATTATCCTAACTTTAGTTTGAGGTATTATTTATTAAAATCTAGTGGTTTTTCCCCCCAAAATTTCTCAGAGAGGGAAGAGCCAGCGAGTGTAGTGTGAGAAGAGGGGGAGGGAGTTGAGTCCATTATTTGAATGGACATTAACTTGGCGACTGTATTTCTCCATTTCTCTTAAGTATTAATTGTGTGCATGTACCATCATAAAATTAAGATGTTATTT